CTTCGGTTTGGCAACCCTCGCATCGTCGAACGAGGTCTTCAAGTGATCGAAAGATGGCACATCACAAAATAGCAAGCCAATAAAAACACCTGCGATGCTTAACTTAAACATCACACAAAAGCTTTGACACAAGTTTGACCAAGTGGGTTCTCAAGGCATACGTCACACTTAACAAGCAAGCGTGATTGCCCACAGCAAACAGAGTGGATTTGGAGAAAGTAGCTTCACTACCTTCGTCTTGGATGATGCATGATTCTGTTAACTAAGATATCCCTTCCTTGGCGCTCTTCCTCATCAGTATATCTTCTACCAGCTAGATGTAATGCTTACTTGTATAAACGAATGAGGCGTTCGAAAAACTTTTAAGGTCTTGTCGGCAAGGGTACTTGCAAATTGTAATTGGTGAGGTATTTGATGAAACCTGCTTCCTCCAATCGACTTAATTTATTTTAGACCGCGAAGGTACCACAAGTACCAACCGCAAGTTCTAAAGCAAGTAGGAGGAACCTCTTCAACTCCCTTGACTTCTTTAATGGATGGCGCATTTGGAGATCTTGAACGAAGACTATTTTACCGGGAACTAAAACATGCCATATTATAGGCATAGAGAAGAACCTATCTTTGAGATTTACTATGAATTTGGTCTGCAAAATAATTGGTTGGTTTTGATCTCGTACCACGTGGTGGTATTCGATTCTTGCAGTCCGTAGAATTTCCCTTCAAGCTTCCACGATTTCAATGGTGCGGAGGAGATGTCGTTCATCTTCTCGGACATTACTGGGACCAATCTTTGTTGAGTTGGTTGATAACCAGCTTGAGTCCCCGTACACCATGAGGCGTTTGACGCTTGAGCTCGATGGCTATAAGGAGACCATGGAGACATGCTTCGTATTCCGCGGCATTGTTGGAGGCCGGAAAGTGTATGCGGAGAACATACCGGAGTTTATCCTTAGTCGGCGTAATGAGCAGAATGCCCGTACCAAGCACCGTTGATGTTAAGGGCACCGTCGAAATACATCACCCGATTGCTTTCGGGGCAAGTGGCGGCAATAGGTTCTTGGATCTCGGTCCACTCTGATGAAATCAGCAAAGCGCTGTGACTTAATGGTAGGTGCGCTTACAATTCGATGGAGTAAGTGCCGAGCTCAACAAGCCCACTTAATGACGTGGTAACAAACTCAAAAATTGGCCTCTTTGTTGCGGAGAATGTCCCCAAAGGGAACTTCGGTGACCACGGTGATCTTGTAATACTACTTCCAAGTAGTGTGAGCTTGTTCGTGACATAATCATTTAATTGCATACTGGTATAGCTATTTTTGTACCGAGGATAACGAGTTTTGGGCTCATTAAGTACCTCTAGAGTCATTTGATGAAGTAGACCGAACGTTGCACTTGTCATTTTGTAGCGCGTTCGATTCCTCGCGTTCAACGACAATAGCATATATCTTTGGCGGCGCGACCTTGAAGTGGCGGCGATGTAGATCAATGAGTTTCATCGGTCATCGCGCGGAAATCATGATCGGAGGTTTTGTTAAGAACAACTTGAGCTGCTCTTCATTAAGTTTTCGAAAATGCTCGCTCTCCTCCTCGACCGAGGAAAAGCGCTCGGTGGCCTTAAGGAGCTCGAAGAAAGGTAGCCCTTTTTTTCACCGAGGCGCGAGATGGCGCTTAAAGCAGACCATGCGACTGTAAAATCAGATATCCTAGACGCATGTCGGTCGTTTCATGTTGGTAATGGTGGAGACTTTGTTAGGGTTAGGTTCGATGCCACGATGATGATGATGATGTAGCGGCAAAGAAGATATCTGGGATGGAACTCCAAAGATGCACTTTGAAGGGTTCAGCTTCCACCGGTACTGTTCAGGTTGGAGAAAGTTTCTTCAAGGTCGGCGATAAGGTTGTCGGTGGTCTTGGTCTTGACAACCATGTCATCGATGTAGGCTTCGACGTTGCGGCTGATCTGTTGGTCGAGGCACATCTGGATGGCCCTTTGATAGGTCGCCCCGGCGTTCTTGAGTCCAAAGGACATAATGGTGTAGCAGTATGCATCGAAAGGCGTAAGCTTGCAGTGGCGTAAGCTTGCAGCCACCACTGGTTGGGTTCATCCTTCCTTCATAGGGCTCGACCCCAATGATTATAAAGCCACGTGGCCACTGGAGTGTTCGGAGTGCCCTAGTGAATTCTAGAGGTCCTTCGGGGTTGCCGGCTCCATCGTCTGCAGCGTTGCCGGCGGTGATCGGTTCCAGAGCTGAGTTCGGGTTACCGTACTCTTGCTCGTACTGCTGGCGGCGGCGCACTTCTTCGTGGCGAGTGAAATGACGTTGATCGATATGCCGTCGTGCATCCCGAAGATTACTGAGGTGCACTCGAGCGTCCTATTCGACCTCCTGATCATGCTGGCGATGGTGCTCGGCGCGGTGGCCCCCCGCTCCACCCTGGAAGGGCAGTGACTGGTCGGCGAAACAACTTTGGCTAGGGCAACGATTGAATCTTAGCGCAGCTGATCGATGAATCATGCTTGTCGAGCACGAAGGTCTTTGATCCTAGCGGATCTCGTTGACCTAGCAGTGCACCGCTTTGAGCATGGCGACGACCTTGGCAAGCTCGGGCATCTGCGGGAGGCAGACGAGCTCGTTGGCGGCCACCGCCAGATTGGTGCTTGGAGTCTTGAAGACATCGTGGTCGTCAATGCGGAGAAACTCTTTGTCGAGGTTGTGGTGGAGCGGCCTTCCTTGCGAGTTGAATTGGTTGTCACGAGCGGCCTCGGCCATCGCAAGGGCGCGCTCGTTTTCACGACGTTGCGCGCGGTTGACGTTCCTGTTTTCACGAGCGGCGCGTTCCTCATCGGTTTCGCCGTTCCGAGGGGGGCTGTCGATGCTGACGTTTAAGATCGCGCCACCCCGGAAAGGCGGGAGAGGGGGTTGCTCGGTGAAGGTTTCGGCGAGGGTCTCCGTGGAGCCCTGAGATTCGGAGTTCGGACTTTCCTCCAAGATGGTTTGGAGGGATGCTCTGGGGCATCGGCTGGCGTGCATCATGTTGACCGTCGACGGGAACTGGTCGGCGATCTGGTCGGCGAGAGGATGGATATCCTCCACCTGGTCGGCGAATTTGCCCCTCAGGGCATCTTGGTATGTAGCGGCGGTGTTGGCGAGCCCAAAAGGTAGGGTCGTAACCCCCGAAGTTTGCCGAGCAGCTTCTGATGGATTCGGATCAGAGAGTGGTCGGCCCTGAACGAAAGTGTGTAGAGCCAACTCGGCAACGGAGAGGCAATCAGTGAGCTTTAGACCGACCCGATCGATGGATTTGATCAGATCGTCGTTGTTAATGTGCCTCTCTGGTAACGGGAAGCAAACAGCGAGTCGTTGACGAAGGCAACCTCGGAAGTGGATCCAAAATCGGATCTGCAGTTGCAGGTGCGGGGGTGGTCGGCACAGAACGGATCTGCACTGGCTCAAGGAGCTCTCCGACTCCGTTAGCGTTGATGACCCACGAGATGGATCCGACCGTGAAGATCTGGCCGGGCTGCGGGAGGGACGAAGAGCTGCGGAAAAAGCCATCTTGTTCGACAAGGAAACAGCACGCACACCCCTACCTGGGGCGCCAACTGTCGACAGAATATTGTCGGCAGTCCTCCGAAGGGTTCCCCACGAAGATAGATTGATCGGCAGAGGAGCGCGTGATCAAGAACAAGAAGGCAACAGAGACACACGAATTATACAAGTTTAGGCCGTCAATATGACGTAATACCTTACTCCTGTGGTCTGTTGGTTTGAATTAGCTATCGTATGATATGCCGTGATTTTGGAGGGGGTCCCTGCCCGCCTTATATAGTCCAGGGGGGTAGGGTTACAAGTCGGTTAGATCTGAGAGATAACCGGAAAGTAATAACATATTACAAGAATCATGGGACCATACATATCCTAACAGATCTCGTAGTATCTTCAGGATATCTTTCCCATGTCTTGCGGAAGGCGCCGAGCATAATCGTGCCCCGCAAGGTTTCAAATCTCGTCGCTGGGCTGGGCAGCGTAACCCCCGGACGTGCTCATGAGGTAGCATGTTTTGGCGTCAACCGTAGTGGCATCTAGGTTCCATTTTGACCTATATATTTTGATCCTTGAAAGTATTGATTTACATATTTTGGTCTCTAAACTTGTTAAGGTATTTTTATCTTCATTCCTACCAGCCATCTATGGGAAATTAAACAGACCATTATTGTAGATTCAAAGGACATCACTAGGACAACATAATGTTAAGGCCATAGAGTTTAGCTCTTTTGAGAACTGAAGATGAAGATAGGTTAGGTTAAATGCCATTCTATCCTCTAAGGTGGAAAAACAAAAATGAATGACAAAGCAACTGAAGCCCGCAGTTTTCCTGTTTCCTGTGTTTTTACTGTGAAAACAAACATTTTCATGTGAAATTTTCGAGTTCCAAAGGATCTAATACTAGAACTAGAATATCTTGGAAGCAAAATGCTATTCTTTCTATGGTCTAAGGTGGAGAAAAAAAACATATAACAAAGCCAACAGATACTAGAACTAGAATATCTTGGAAGTAAAATGCTATTCTTTCTATGGTCTAAGGTGGAGAAAAAAACATAACAAAGCCAACAGATACTATAGAACTAGAATATCTTGGAAATAAAATGCACATACAGAAATGACAAGATCTGAGCAGTATCATTAGATTAGGAACAAACTAGCTAGATCATGCAAATTATTCAAACATGTAGGAATCAGCATTCCATCTGTCGGGTTACGCATACAACCACACAAAAGCAAAAGCACACCACCACATTGTGGAGCAGCACCTAAAGCATAGTTCATGCACGGAAGCATAGGCGCATAGATAGTAACAAAATAATTAAGCATGGCCTCCTTACAGCTCATGCATGCGGCACACAACATTAGATAGCTAGCCGTCTTCAGTACTTCAGACACCTAGAACCATTAGTCCTTTAGCTAGGTCGTGGTGCGAAATGGAAGCGATGCTGGTGGCTAGCCAAGCCGGTAGAGCCCGCCATCATTGATGAAATGGCCGTCCATGTAGAAGGCGTTGGTCGTGTGGTACCCGTCCATCATCAGGTGGTGCATTTCCTCAGACGGCTTCCAGTGCCGCTTCCGCTGGTTGATGAACCAGTTGTTGATCTGCTTCAGGTCAAGCCCGGTAGACTCGGCCAGTGCCACCTTCTGAGTCTCCTGCTCACCCATGTGAAGAGTTAATACATATCCAATAGGGAAAGGCAGGCTATGCCGTATACAAAACATCCAACAAAATAAAGATATAAAAGAAGTTTATTGTAAGCTCCTGGACTTAATGCTTGTTTCACTTAGAACCCTGAACTTGAAAATTGCATATTAGGATCTTCACTTATATAAGTATCAACACATACTTCAGAGGACTATAATTTTCTGTTCAGCCATGTAGTTCCCAAGTGAAACCAATGGAAACTCTTTAATCTGTATCTGAGAGAAGGCTTTATATTTCAGATAAATTTAGTTGCTTAAAATTAATGGTATTTAGCAAGACCGCTGTTTTCAACAGGATCAAGGTTACATACCTTTTATGGTCCCTTGCGGGAGGGATTTTCTTGAAGCCCCTATTTGTTGTGCAACTATCTAATGTGTAATAGCTCTCCTGTGTTTTCTTAAACTCCTCGCAGCTTAGGCTGTGGGGAGTATCGCTCTGCATGCATGTAATGACTGTTGCTTCTTTCTCCTTATTATAAATCAAAGCTGGGAAACCAGATCTTTCAAAAAAAAATACCGATAATCGCCCGCCACTCCCTCATCAATAGTAGACTCTGGCATATTTTGACTCACTTATTACATGCTAATATGCAAATTAGGGAACAGACAACCATGGGAGATCAAAGACCCATATCTAGCTTAGATTTGCCAAATGTGTTTTATGCATGCTTCCCCTTGAATTACCATGTGCAATCAGTACTAACATTGGATTTTTACTGGCTATAAAAAGCTCATGAAGACTTGGCGTCAAAATCATATGTTGCCAACAATTTTTAAAATGGACAAATAAAAAGAAGACGTACTGAGGGGTAAGGCCATTTGTAGTGCAGATCCCACCAGCTAAGGAGCTGCTGGCGAGCCTCCTTAGGGAGCTTCCCTTTCTTCTTCTTCTTTGACAGTTCTTGCTTGAGCGAGCTTAGATAGCCACTGTATTTCTTCAGGAGATGGTGCTTGAGCTCTTGGTCTACACCATGCACATCAACTTCAGGGAGCTCTGTCTCTCCTCCGCTACCTTCTTGATCCTCCTCAGAAGAGCCTTCAAGCATAATAGATAGAACTGTTAGCTAACAAAAGAAGTGATCAAGCAGCATATTCATAGCCAGATTAGAAAACATTTGGCTGGCAAAACACAAGTACTGAACTTATTTACTAAGAGTCTAAAATAAATGTTCCATACAAGCAAAGCAATAAACAGTAATTTTCATGTGCCATAGTTAAACAAGTGAACTTAATTACTATTTTATGAATGTGAAGTGTGATGATCTAAGGTAAGTAGCACAGCAATCTGATTCTATACAAAACAAACATCATCCAACTCCCGCGTGACATCAGTCTTGGGAATTTACATTGGGCTATTGTCCCCCCAATCAATCTAACATCTCCAGTATACCCATTGAAGTACAGATATCACGGACATGTGCATTTGCACTATTTTAGTTTGTGAACCTAGTGTATTCCAAAGACGAATATAAAAAGTATGGATGTTTCTGCACATATTACTTTGCTTGCATGATATTTTGATCATTTTTATATTGTGGGTAAAATATTATATTGCAACTGTATGTGCACACCATGTTCTTTTCCCAACAGTCAACACTGCATTTGTTTTTCTATATTAGCATCTTAATATTTAACTTATGCTTTTCAGAACAGGCATAAATGACCCCTGTACACTTTTCGTTTTGCCAATTATCAATATCCATCTTGAAGGCAACATATTTGGAAGCAATATAGAAATAAGCAAAGGAACACAGGTTTAAGACTTGAATAAAATGTTTGCCTATGTAAGAGCACCCTAACATATATGGGAAAATGAAGTATGTTCTCCAATATTAAGTTATAATTTTTTGCTTTAAGAAAACAACTCTGCTCTTGTTGTTTCAACACATCCGTTGCCTAGCCCAGGAGCACAGGTAAAGGGGGGCTGTGATAAGCTTGGCAAGCTACTGCAAAACCCTGCCGTGCATACTAAAATCAAACACTTAGTTATCTTTATATAATGTCAAGAGCCAGGATGTCAACCTTCTTTTAGTTTCATATCATACACCACAGTGGTCGGACCTTGTGCTACTCAGTCCTGTGCATACCTACCATGACCATGGGTCAACCACGGTTTGTCATTTGTGAGCATGCTACTATGCAGGACTATTTAGCCTGGAATGTTGAGAAAATATCTGATATGTTTGAAAAAAAAGAGTAACATGACCTTCTTTAACTGTATAAATATCTTTTTATTGCTCCACGAAACCAACATTCATATATATATTTTTGTATAAAGGAAATAAATATTTTGTGTTTGTGCATTCTGACAGAAGCAACAGTGAAAAATATTATTTTATTTAGAAAATGACTTTTGAGCATGTGACACGACATGAGACTCTGTTCGTCATGCTGTTAATTGGGATAAATTAAAGCAGTGTGAGGTCACGACTGACACATATATAGTAACAGTAAATTACCATAATTATTTAATTTTAATGTCAATCAAAACTTATGCCAAATGTGTGCGGTTGTCTTTGAAATGAAGAAAGAACCATTTGCTCACTAAAACATCATTAGACAATGGATGTAGAAACCCATGAAATTGTTTTGGGGTGCCACGGGAATAAGACAAGAACTTTGTGGAAATATTTGGATGGCCTTGTAGAAAACGTGGAAAACCAAAAATAAAATGAAGAGCATCACAGCTTGTACATGTTACAGCAGTCTAAAAAACTTCTGGAAAAGATTTCATGATACACTTACAAAATAGTATTGCCAAAGGAACCCTTAGGAGTTGTTCCATGGTCATTCTAAATGCTTTTCAAATATTTTCCTAGTGTTTCATTTCAATACTTTTAAAGCCCTTGATTCCTTTTCCTTGTTCCTGACAGCAGGGTTTTAAGGTAAATAATGTTCTATATTTTAAATTTATTAATGGTTTGTGGAAGATATTATCAAACAATTCCAATATTACAGAAAATGAAAAGAAGAAGATGGTATGTGATAAAGAACTCTAATCACAACATTTTATGTGATACTGAATATTGAGATAAACAGAATTGAAATCCATGAAAATGATAAAACCAACAGCAGAAGTGACGAGAATCAGAATCCGGTCAATCTCAAAAAGAAAATAAAAATGAATGCACCTGACTCCAATAACCAAGAATACAAACATGCACGAGATGCAAATCAAATGGAAGATTTCACACAGATGGAAGTGCCAGATTGTTCCTTTCCTCCAGTCGCGTTGTCTTTTCCACTGGTGTTCCAGTGCAAAATCCGTCGGTTCTTTATCATCCATTTGTTTTATGTTGCTTGCTTCTGGTATCTTTTTTGGTCTTACCTCGAGACAAATGGAAACTCGTGATATCTGTGTCCCTGCTTTTGCATGACCTTGAAAGAGTGCATGCAACCAAGAATCTTGGAGTACATGGGCAACATCAGTCAGAAAACGCAGTGTTGTTTTGCAATTAATAATTCAATAGTTTGTCTGTGGCCCTCATAACCAAAATAGATTGTATTATGCATATTTAAGAAAATAATGCATGAGGTCTACAAATAGTTTCTTTCAGAAAAAAAAGGAGTCTACCGAGAAGGTCAAAGAACAGTTGGAGCTGAGAAGAAATCTGAGTTGACAGCTGAAAAATACAAACGCAGGTGAACTTGGACTCGCCTCGGAAGGCATCCAATGTTCCTTGACCGTCATTATTTATGTGAGGGAATGCACAGGGGGAAGTCTGTCACAAAATACAGGGCCATAGAAGTACTAGTAGACGCACATATAATAATATAAGCCTAGCAGATCTCACATCCATTGCAAGAGAGATCTCACATCAAATAATGGGGGCCGTTCAGCGTTCATGCGCCAAACTGTTTCTATGGTTCTCGAGGCACACAGACCATTTTGTCCACTTCACTGCATGGACCGGTCCCGCATATGATGCTCCATTCACTCATCTGCCTGCCTATGCATCTCTGAACATTCAATTTTTGCAGCGTTTCTTGGCTTCCTAGGCCATTTTTGCAGCATTCTACGACATCAGATGGCAGCTTCTTCGCTAACATGCTCCAATAATGAAGTGATTGTGTGTGTTGCTGTCGTACTAGCCAAGTAGCCAGTGCTCCAGAACCGAAGTGAAAAACTCTGGGCTGGGAGTAACTGGTAGCACGAGTAGTTACTATAGCCTCGTCATAGATCATTAGAAAGGCCCTGCCATGGATCGTCTCGATCCACCTGATGTGTTCATTTAAAATTAGCAAAGACTACTCAGAAGCTGATGGCCAGGTGTTCATTTAAAATTAGGGCCTTGTTTAGATTGGGGTTAGGAATCAGTATTTGACACTGTAGCATTTTCGTTTGTATTTAACAATTATTGTCCAATCATGGCCTAACTAGGCTCAAAATATTCGTCTCGTAATTTACAATCAAACTGTATAATTAGTTATTTTTTTATCTACATTTAATACTCCGTGCATGTGTCCAAAGATTTGATGTGTTTAGATTGCAAGTTTTTTCACTCTCTCTCCATCACATCAAATCTTTTGACACATGCATGGAGTATTAAATATAAATAAAAAAATAATTAATTACATAGTTTGATTATAAATTACGAGACGAATCTTTTGAGCCTAGTAAAGCCATGATTAGACAATAATTGTCAAATACAAACGAAAATGTTCAGTGTCAAATACCGATTCCTAATCCCAATCTAAACAAGACCTAAACGAGGCCTAGCAAAGACTACTCAGAAGCTGATGGCCAGATCTGTGTCCTGTGCTGGGAACGCATCATGCACAACAAGAACATCTCTTGAGGGGGAGAAAGATGACAAGAATGTTCTGGCTAGCTTGCGTGACAGATGGGGGATGACTCCCCATCTCTCTCTCTCTCTCTCTCTCTCTCTCTCTCTCTCTCGGTTTCCCCCTCTCACTCCTTTCATTCACACCACTATACGTGTGTGTACTCGTGTTTCACTGACATACGCCAGTGAGACTCCTCGGCCATGGACTGTTGCTTGCACAATGCCACAGCACGCCGTACTGTTGCCCTTCCCCAAACCCTAGAACAAGGTAAGGGCTCCGTAATTCCCTGGGGTTCCCATCATGGGAAAAGATGGCTGCCTGAACCAGGAACTACTCGCAGAGGACACATGCAGCACATATTCCATTGGAAATGGAATCAATCAATGGACGACGACGAACAAGGCATCCATGAGAAGAACAGCCAAAGTTGTAGTACCAGTAATAGTAAATCACAGGTGATTTCATCCTAATCTCTATGCAGTATTACAGCAGAACGCAAGGAAGGAATGGGCCGGATGGAGTGTAGTATGAAAAGAATCAGAGCTCTCATGTGTGCTAGATTGAGCTGCACCGCTTCACATGTGTCACATGTGTGAGGACTATTCCTTTCCAGCAGAAGCAAAGATCGATGGAAGCCAGAGAGAAGAATCTCACAGATGCATGGCCAGGAAAAGCAAGCAGGGAGAAGATTCTTTTGGAAACCCTGATTAGGAATGCTGCCGCATTAAAACATGAAGCACAGAAAAGACATTCATCTGCGCTGCGCAGGTAGCTATACTCAAAACATGCATGCATAACAAGATGCTCTTAAAAAGGGAACTATATAGATGCCAAATTGCTGAGAAACCACATCAATTTTTTTTGTGTTTTTTAGATGCAAAAAATCAACAACATATGCTCAACCAAGAAAGAGGACAACAAGATGAACAAGAGGGCATGATAGATGGGCAAGGGCAACCAAGAGGACATGAAGATCTCAACAAGAAGGCATCACTGCATGAGGAGACAACCGATCTGATCCAAAAAATCATCTGATGTAAGAGGAACATGAGGTGCAGCAATTTCAGTACCAGAGGAAAGGATATTGCGCAGCGATCTTCCAGAGATGGAAAGCGAGTTGAGCTGCGACTCCACCCTTCGCATGAACTCCATCGCCTCCTGCAGCGGCCTCGTCAGCTCCTCCCTGAACTTCACCAGCATCTCGTGGTACGCCTCCTACGCGCAAATTAAAACCGAGTTGAAAACAACGACAAATAATGCCACCGTGCGTGAATAAACCTCGAGAACAAAACACAGAAAGATGTATTCTTTTGCAGAAAGGGGTCATTGACGGTTAGCTGATAGCTCACCATGAACTGGTCCAGCTCCGGCTCCGTCGCAGCGCCCAGGCCGCCGAGCGCCGTGCGCTGCCGCGCCTCCAGCTCCTGCGCCATCGCCGTCAGCCTCGCCGACACCTCCGGTGGTGCCCCCACCTGCAAACACCCACACGGCCGTTTGAGAAAGTTCTGAACACCGGATGCACATATCTACATGAGCAGCATGCATAAACTATAGTATGCTATGTAAAAGCAAGCAGAAAGTATATGCATGCGCCATGCTTGACATCAGATGTGGGGAAACTTCTCTAGCAGAACCGGAAGCAGGAGCGCTAGTGCGCTACTGTTAGACTGCTACTAGTACAAGGTCTTGCTTGCCTTCTTGCACTCGAGGTAGGCGGCGAGGAGCGAGTAGTAGTGTGGGTGCGAGATGATCTTGGCCTTGATGGCCTCGAGGTCGCCTGCGTAGGGAGACGACGACGAGGGCTCCTTCGCCTTGACGCACGCGTCGAGGAGGCCGCCGCCGTTGGCAAGCTGCAGCACCGGGTTGCCGCTAGCGCTGCTGTTCCCAGTGGCCGCCACCGTGTTCAGGGTGAGCGGCAGGCCTGCGCTCGGCGGTTGCTGCTGCGGCGGCGCAACGACGGCGCTGAGGGAGGATGCCCACGGGTGGTGGTGATGGTGGTGCTGGCCGTGGCCGTGGCTGTGGCTACTTGCGCCAACTCCAAAGTGGTGGGTGATCTCCTCCATGGGAGTGGGCGGATCTCCAGTGAAGTAGTGGTGCAGCGATCGAGCTCTCCGCCCACTGTCCCCGCGAGCTCCTGCGCAAACGCAAAAGGGCCGCCTGGAGGTGAGATGAAGTTCTTGGGGCGAGAGAAAGAGAAAAAGGGTTTGGGGAAGGAGAGGGAAGGGAGGAGGATGCCTCGAAGTACTATGCCTTCTCTCTCTATGCTATCATTAAGGGAGGGCGCGCGGCACAGTAGGGAAAAGGCTGGAGGCCAATGCAGCTGCCTTTGGAGAGAGGCAGTGCAGTAGCGTGGCGTGGTGGTTGTGGGGTTTCTTTTTCAGGTCAAATCAAAAGGCTTGAGGTGGATTTGCAGGGAGTTTCTATTTTCTACTCACTCTACTCTAAACTAATATAATTCTCATTTTCTTTTAAGTCAAACAATTTCAAATTTTATTAAAAGGCTTGATGAGCTGCCTTTAGAGAGAGACGTATAATCTAGAACAGTATCATGTTTTAGTATCTTAAATTTAATTAATTATAGATGAAAATATATCAATACTTATGATATTAAATAAATATCATTATATTAATTACGAAATGTATTTTCATAATAAATTGATTTGGAGTTATAAATATAAATATTATTCATTAGAAACTTGGTCAACTGTGAACTACTTTTTTTTTGGCACACAACCTATAGGCTCCGTTTGGCTTACCTTAAATCTAGCTTGTTCGGCTTCTTTTTTTAGTCGGAACAGTGTTTTTCTCTCACAACATTTTAGCTAGAATAGTGTTTTTCAACCAATTTCAATCAAGATTCAGCAAGCCAAACGGGGCGTTGCATGTTTTCTTAGACAGAGAGAGTAGCATGCAATAGCTAGCACACATAAGTTACTCTATCTATCCCCGAAAAAATACAATTCTAGCACAGTGCCATGGTTTAGCATCTTAAATTCGATCAATTATAGATAAAAAATTATCAATATTTATGATATCAAATAAATATAATTAGATTAATTACGAAATATATTTTTATAATAAATTACTTTGTAGCCATAAATGTGAATAATATTCACTAAAAATTTGATCCAACACGAACTACTTTTGGTGGCACGTAACACGTAGTTGTATTTTTTTATGAACGGATGAAGTATTTAGTTTAGTAAATATTGCTTCTTCCCATAAAAAGAGTTGTTAGGGATTTGTGCTGATCAAATTTTTTAAAATTTGACTAGGTTTATATAAAATATTAGCAACATTTGAATCTCCAAAATAAGTTAATTATAAAAATATATTCAATGGTATCTAATAATACTAATTATGTACTATATATATTAATATTTTCTAATATATATTTAATTAAAGTAAAAAATATTTGACTTGTCAGACAGTGAGAATGACAATTTTTTAAGGAAGAGAGGGAGTATAGAAAAGTGTTTAGGAGCCTGCCTTGGTGCTCAACGGGCTGGTGGCTGGTCTGCTAGTCCAGGCTCGAAAACAAAGTCGATGTTAGGGCGTGTTTGATTTCACTAGATGGCTTGCCTAGCCTTGCCTCACCTGGCTATCACGAGACACGAGAACGTTGCCCAGCCCTCTCAAGCTGGCAAGGCAAACCTCGCCTACACATACCTCAAGGTAGTTAGGCAATTAAAAAAAGTAGTGTTAGGCAAGACAATCAAAGGAGCAAGACTGTTCTATATCCTTGCTTAGCAAGATCAAACAATATCTGGCCAAAAAAAAAAACTAAGCATCCCCTTCGTGTCTGGAGTCACGTGGCAGCGTGTCTGAATTCCTATATGTATGTGAGTACAAATAAGTAAACATGATGTTTATGCTTTGCATGTCATGTGATATGGATGCATAAATGTGTTACACACAAATCATATGTACTAGTTATAGGTTAAGATTACCCAGGAATACTACTTAGTCATAGGTTAACATTACTTAGGGATACAAACATGTGTTGTCGACTGGTTAAGACAGATTGTCCATTTGGATGTCGCAGTCGTCCATCAGGTCGGGTAAACCATCTGTCTAGACTTAGCAAGAATTTTGCAAGTGTTAAAACACCCATGTTTGTACTAAAGAGTGTGTCAGACGAACTATCCATCAAGAGACAACGGTGTTCCTAGGTGAAATACGACTAAGTGTTGGGCGGACAGACTATTTGACAATGCGAGCGAACTATCGGCCTGACCTTGCAGACTATGACTAAGTGTACCCAACACCCTTCTCACCCCTTTTCGTTGTGCTTTTATCGTGCCCCGAAGTGAACAATTATAATACAAGCTTATCTTAATGTCTTGAAAGTATCTAAGAAGACATAGACATCTTCTCTACTCACTCATATCATTTACCCGTTGCTTGGTGTTGTAGGACAATTTTGATTATCAGCTAGTTCTCATCAATGGAAATTGATACCTTAGAATACTCTCGGATAAAAGCTACGTTGAAATCTGTGCGCTTGCAGATTTATTTGTCTGCCACATTAAGTGTCAACACTTGTGATAAATGGAAGTGGAAGACCTCGTTCTGTTACAACTCTCGATGTAATTTTCTTTTAGACCCTCGAGTCTTTTTTAGTGATGTTATAGATTTTTGTTATAAATATTATAATCCATCACTACCAATGACATCACATTTGTCGGTGTTTTCGGACCATCGACGAGTAAATTTGTATTTGCGTATCTGGCTCGGATGGTGTGTTTAGAGAACACAAAGGTTTATACTGGTTCGGGTGAAACGTCCCTACATCCAGTTCGCTGCTGCTCGTGTTACCAGCACTTGGTTTGTAATAGGGGTTACAAACATGTAAGAGAGAGGATCCCAAGTCTCTGGTAGAAGGAGTGAACGGGTGCTGAGAGCTCGCTTGTCGATTAGCCGTGTGCTCGTATCGTGCTCTTGTGTCAAGATCCCCCTTTCATGGGGCGTCTTGCTGTAAGGTCCTAATATGGCTAGAGTGAGTGAATAGCCTATTTAAGAATCTATAAATCAACTAGAGCAATTTGATTAGTATGACAAATAGTGAAATACAAACTTGCTCTAGCTCTACAAGGGTTACAAGCCACCTATCCAACAATTCTAGTTATTATAATCACTAGACACATAATTTGTTAAGTCACTACTCACTAAGAGCTCTCACACTTGCTACACTAAAGAGCTCTATAAGATGAACTAAAACTACAAAGCAAGCTCTCAATTTTAATTACACTAAAGAGCTTGCTACAACTAGTTTACGAGAATGTAAATCAGTTAGTAGAGTGATTATACCGCCATGTAAGGAGTGAACCAATCACAAGATGAATATCAATTCAATCATCGGGAGAACACCAAAGGGCAAGAGACAACCAATTTTTCTCCCGATGTTCACATGCTTGCCGACACGCTAATCCCCGTTGTGTCGACCAACACTTGGTGGTTCGGCGGCTAAGAGGTGTTGCACGAACCTCGTCCACACAATTGGACACCGCAAGAACCTACCCACAAGTGAGGTAACTCAATGACATTAGCAATCTACTAGAGTTACCTTTTAGCGCTCCGTCGGGGAAGGCACAAGACCCCTCACAATCACCGAGAGATGGCCACGAACAATCACCAACTCGTGCCAATCCTCCTCCGCTGCTCCAAGCCGTCTAGGTGGCGGCAACCACCAAGAGTAACAAGCGAATCCGGCAGCGAAACACGAACACCAAGTGCCTCTAGATGCAATCACTCAAGCAATGCACTTGGATTCTCTCCCAATCTCACAAAGATGATGAATCAATGATGAAGATAAGTGGGAGAACTTTGGCTAAGCTCACAAGGTTGCTATGTCAATGCAAATGACCAAGAGAGTGAGCTAGAGCCGGCCAAATGATATTTATAGACACCTCCAAACAATAGAGTCGTTGGCTCAATTATTGGGCTGACTGCGGGACGACCGGACGCGTAGGTCATGTGCACCAGACGCGTCCAGTGGGGGACTAGACGCGTCCGGTCGCTGCGTACGGTCGCAGCCTAACCGCCCAACGACTATCTCTGCACAGTAATACTACGTGATCGGACACGCTGTAAGAAACGACCGGACGCGAAAGACGCAGCGTTCGGTCGAGTCCAGAGAGCTCCCAGAGCCTCTCTAGGCCGACCGCACGTGTCCAGTCACCCCGGACCGGATGCGGGCGACGCAGCGTCCGGTCGAGTCCAGAGACCTCCTAGAGCCGCTCTGGGCCGACCGGACGCTCCCAGCGTCCGATGAATTATGGCGCTGAAAACCCCAAACTTGCTAGTTCACACCGGATGGCGACTGGACGTGTCCAGTTGCTCTCTGCAATCCTGTATCGGGATATATCACTTTGTGAATTTCTCTCTCCCTTTGTCAACAATTAGCACAAAAAGCGAGCTCAAATTTTAGATAGGTTGAGGTGAAACCATGTGAAATGAGGATCATTTTTCTAATTTGGTTCAATCTAGATCACTTGCAAAAGATATTTAACTCGGTTTGATCCAAGGGCAAGCTTCTTCACACCTACAAAAAAGTGTTATCATGCACCATGTTGAGTTAAACACTTATAGCTCATTTTCTAGATTAAGCACTAGGTTTACAAACCCACAAACATGTCATATGCTATCACTAGATTATTTCAAGCATACAAGCAATAGTGGTACCATACAAGCATCAAATTCATTAGATTTTCATGAATGAGCCTAGGACATGATAGGAATGACTAGATGCACTAAATAAGTCCTTAGCAATGGATGAATGACATGTCAATTAACTTTACCTTGCTTTGCTTCAAGGAGAGACATGTCATATAATGGGGGGTGTATCAACACATATTTGAGAAATCCAATATGTTCAACTCATTCCTTAGCTTGCAAAACATTTTCTTATATATTGGCTTGGTGAATATATTGACAAGTTGATCTTCGGTGCCCACATTCTCAATGTAAATGTCCCCTTTTTATTAGTGATCTCTTATGAAATGGTGGCGGACTTTAATGTGCTTTGGTCTTGCATGTTGAACCGGATTGTTGGTTAACTTAA